TAGCTTTTCTAGAAAAATTTAAACGTTGAATTCAAATGTATAGGACTGTAATTGATAAATGAATCATACCAATTCATCTCTTTGGAGCTATAGATTAAAGTAATTATCCATTAATGATTAAATACTTATAGCTCGATTATTCTTTCATAAGTTTTTACAAAACCCTGTTATTTGTAAAGTTTCGAATCAACAGCCATCTATGTACTGTTTAGTTATCTTTTTAAGATTTGACAGGTATGGCATTTAAGATTAAAACCTGCTGACCCCATAATAAAATATGTGATTTGTAACATGAAAAATCCAATTTCAGTCTATGAATCAGTATAATACTGTTTATTACTTAAAGTTTTAATCAAATCGAATAAACTGCACATGATTAACTAATAAGTAGACATCCTTGAACTAATTTAATACCATAAGGTAAGTTTTTGATATCAGTATAGGGGTTGTGGAGAATATTGAGTTTTTGATTGAGATCGTGAACCGACTGACTTTAGAACACCACTGAAAACCTGGAAGCACTGGACGTCCATTTCGTTCTATTGTGGGACCCCTTAGCAGTGCTCGTTCACAATCCCGCTCGCGAGGTCCGAACCCAGGGCCTTCAGTCTTGCGTGCGAAAATATTTTTAATATCTCAATGGGTAAAAAAATTAAATTTTCTGACTTTTCGCCGTGGATGACATTTTCATTAAACATCAAGTCGATATTAGAAATATCAAAATAATGCCAGAACGCTTTTCCAACAACAAAGGCGAATAGTTGAAACTTTCTATGTATTGCTAAATCCTAATAACTTCAATAGAAAATGCCTTACTATTCATCCGACTTGCACCATCCATCTGAGCTACTTTATCTAATTCTATTCATATCACACACTATTATCACTTATACAAACTCAGCTCCATTATTTCACACTATTTATATCACATTTTTCACACATAAGCACCCACACAAATACACAAACATGTCTCACACAAAACACTTTGACTAAAGTGACATGACACTGACTTAGTGAGACCTACTTTTAGTTGTTGATCGTACTAAATATTTTTGCTTTGCCCATTTGTACTATTTAAACAAGGGTTAATTTTATTTGTTTATTTGTTCCTTGAAGAAGTGGTTTACATTGAGTCATGAAACGTCAAAACATTTAGTTCCTTTATTTTACTCACGAGGATAGTAGAAATATATTATTTTTTTATTGATAACAACCTACCCAGTACTTAATTTATTTGTAATCAATAAGTTAAACTTTAGTAATGATAACTATTCATTTTATCAGAATGGGTTTTGTGGAGAGTTTGTTTTAGAAATTTCGTAGGTTGAAATCATGAGTCGATTGAAGCTAGACCACCATGGAAAATCTGGAAGCACTGGACGGCCGTTTCGTGGATAAGCACTGCTGAGGAGTCCCATACCAGGACGAAACGGCCGTCCAGTGCTTCCAGGTTTTCCATGGTGGTCTAGCTTCAATCGACTCATGATTTCAACCTATGAAATATTCATTTTATATTTTTATTTAGTTCTCGAAGTATTTAATAAAATAATTCAATATATTAACTATTTTTCTATGCATTTTATCCATAAGCTAATCAATAAACAGTCCAATCAACCGATCTATTGTGATTATAGTCTATACATTAATGTAACCGATAAGTCCATTTCCTTCTTTGATACCTTTCTCATATAATTCAATTACTCATTTCTTTTTCAATTAGGTTGGCAGTTTTTCTTTAAAAAATTAACTTTCCTTCTACGATTATTCATTAATTTGATCAACAGGAAACTGTTAAATTATTATTCTATATCAGTTTGTTAATATTCAGTTAACTTATTTCATTCCATATGTTATATAAATTTATATGTCATACAATTATTTGAAATCAAAACAATTGTTGATAGGATTTCTAACTGGAAATAAAGTTATCATTACTGGAAAATATTCAGTTCTATAAATTCCTTGTAAAGCAAGGGCTGCATTCCTACAAATTAAGAACATATGGAACTTAAAACAGCTGTCTGTCAACCAATATCAAAGTCAGAATCTTCAATACGAACATCAAGATAGTTCTGCTGTACGAAGGCGAAACGTGGAGAACTGATACAACCATCATCAAAAAGGTACAAGTAGTTGTCTACGCAAGATACTCAACATCCATTGGCTGGATACCATCAATAACAACCTACCGTGGGAGAGAACAAATCAACTTCCAGATGAAGAAGAAATTAGGAAAAGGCTCTGAAAGTAGATAGAACATACATTTCTGAAATCATCAAAGTGTATCACGAGGCATCCCCTAACTTGGAATCCTGAAGGGAAGTGGAAAAGAGGAAGGTCAAAGAACACATTACGTTGGGAAATCGAAGCAGATATGAAAAGGATGAATAACATCTGGGAAGAGCTGGAACGGACTGCCCAGGACAGGTTTGGATAGAGAGTGCTGGTGGGCGGCCTATGCTTTCCCTCGAGGAGTAACAGGCGTAAGTAAATGATTACAAATGCTTGATGAGAAGATCGAATTATCTGGAATGTATTATATCAGTCACACAATATACATAATCAAACTTTTCACTGATATACACACTTAAAAATATTGTTTATTTACTAAATGTGAAGATAATTTCATACTTTTGATTCAGTAAAACAGTCACGCGTGCAGTTAAAAAGCGTTCATTAACGAAACACGTGAAGTATTACTATTATAAATAAAATAAAACAACTTTAAAATTAATATTGTTCATAAAATTAAAACATCCTAGAAATTATCCTGAAAAATCCAGTGTGGAAGCCGTTCAAAACATACGTAAATTCAAACAATTGACGTAATTTTAAGGTCCGTAAAAATAATTTACTGCCACTCAGTAAAATCAATAAAAATGAATCAACAGTGGATAACTATTTTGTTCTAGTCTCCCGAGAACCCTAAACACATAACCTAATATGAGGTCGAACCTAAAGACCTAATAATTTACTATAAAAAAGATCTGTTTGAGATGATAAGATTTGTAGCTCAAGTGGATGATTTTTATAGAGTTTTGTTCTCTGAGCTGGATAGTTTGATCGTGGAGCTTTCATCGTTCTTCTGAACGATATCATCAGCACAAACTTCAGGAAAAAGTTTATGATCCATCGAAAAGATCTGTTTAAAACAATTAAACAAAATCTGAAATTTCAGAATTTTTAGCTTTCATATCATTTACTCTAGTCAAAACAGGAACTCAAGAAAAAATTGCAAATCACCTTTCAGGTTACAAGTACATGTTACTGACAAATTTAAAACCAAAATGAAATAACGCATTGGCAGCCAATGATTTTTTTGTAGTCGTACAGTTGATATTAGTTAGTGATGAAAATTTCCCTTTAGTTACTTTTATCGGAAATGATTCATTAAAATAAGGAAATGGAAATCTAAGTTTTAAATAGTATACAAAAAAATAGTAACAATAAACTGTACAACCTTTATTTCACCACACTGCCCCAAGGTAATTTCATGAGTTTCCATGAATTCTTACATAGAATTTGTGCATTAATTTTACGTAATTTGATCTAATCAAGTTAAGGTGTAATAAAAACAACAAAAATCATATTGAATTTATCTCTAGAAAATCAAACTCTTGGTAACCATCAATCAAGGTTATAAAAAATTATCTGAGTAAAAGTAATTGAAAAATTCTATCACATTTAAAATATTCTTTTCATATAAATGAATTAGTGATAATAATACTGGTTATATTTATACTATTACAGATACTTCACACAATTTAAGTATTTTTGTATATTGAAAATAATTATTTCAATAGTTGAGGTCGTGAGTCAATTGAAGCTAGACTACCATGGAAAACCTGGAAGCACTGAACGGCCGTTTCGTCCTATTGTGGGATTAGTATCAGAAGGAGTTTTGTGGAGATTGAAATTACTACAATCTCCACAAAACCCTCTTCTGATTATAATCAACATATGCTAACCAGTGACTGGCTTCAAGAGATATTTTCTAAACTTCTAGTGAGAAGCAGTGACTAGTGGTGTTCAATCAGGTCTGTTGTGAGATAGTAATTCACTGATGACAATGGTGGATGTGTCGCTCGATTTCGTGGATTAGTTGGAGTTAGAGATTAACACTGTTGGGTGCCGGCCGTGTCAGTGGTCTAGTGGTTAAGCACTCGCGCACGAGACTGATAGGTGGTGTGTTGGAATCTCGCGGGAGGCGAAATCTTGGATGCGCACTGTTGAGGAGTCTCATTCTAAGACGAAACGGCCGTCCACTGCTTCCAGATCTTCCATTTTGGTCTACCTTCAATTGACTCATGATCTCAACTATTGAAATTACTGTAATCTCCACAAAACCCCTTCTGAAAAAATATATATAAAGTTATATTTTAATTGAATGTTGATTCTCTATATTTTACAAAATGTACACAGAACACGAATGAGATATAATACTTTATCAAATTACTCATCAATATTATAGAAAATAAGCGGGTTTTTTCTAAAATTTAATTATCAACAAATAGAAAACAATCAATTTAGAATGTAACATAACTAATTTTTAATTATTTTATTTTTTTATTCTGAATTTATTTTTATTTTTATTTAATTAATTTTAGAAATTTTACAATTGAATAAAAGACAACACTATAATGCATAACCATCCCCCCTTCACATTGATTTATGAACCAATCAAAAAAATGATACATATTAAAGCTTTCGTTCAACACAATATTTTACTATACGTCTTTAGCCAATTGCTTATTCAACCATTCAATTATATATGTCTACATCCACTTACTTAGATTATACCTATGATGTAATAATTAGTCTTTGTTTGTATAACTGTTAGTATCACAGCCTTGTGAAAAGGTCTGTCACCAATGCTACCAAAACTGTTATTAACACTACTAACCCCTTTTATATCATAATTATATTGGTTCCTGCTAAGACCAATATCATATAAGATATATATATATATATATATATATATATATATACCAAACTAAGTCTATATAACAAATTTCTAGTGTAAAAATTAAATTCAGCTCAAAACGAATCAGTTATATTATTTAGAGTAACTAGACTTTTAAAAGATTATGAAAATGTAAGTCTGGTACAGATATTACTCTTCATTTTTATTATTTATTCTACTGGTTATCATTATAGTAGTTTACATCATTCAATCTCAGATGACATTGTGATTAGATACTGTCAAGGAGTTCTCTACTAGAACTAAATATCTATTCAGTACTTCTGGAATTTAACCGATTATTTACATTAGATATATGGATGATATAAACTGTAATTATTCTAATAGTTATTGGTTTAATAGTTTTATGACATTCCAAGGTATTATAGAATGTGCAGATTACTTATTCATATAGTAAATAGAATAGCAAGAATTATTACGTAAATTTTTTTTTAATTTTGTGTAAAGAAAATTTTGGGAATGTTCTACTTTATATCTTTATACTCTTTAGCTTAAAATGTGGTAATGTTAATATTTCATGTGGAACTGACAAACAAATGACAGACAAAATATCTAAATAATATGAAGTATAATAATTGTGAATTAACATGTAAACTATTCAGATTTAATCAAATTGTAGATAGATTTGCTTGACTAAATTTGTACATGGATAGTTAATGTAGAGTTTTTATTAAAAATAAAAGGCTTAGATTGAGTTCAATTGGTTTAAACAGTGACAAAAATTTTTAAACAAAGATGGATAGTAACCAGTACTGGAATCTAGGACGCGCGTTTCGTCCAATTAAAGTGACAAGACTAATTACAGGCTTGCTGAATAGAATGATTTCTTTATACTTTTATTTATGAAATTTTGACGATATTCGTAAAAGAATCTAAAATCATGATCGAAAAAATTCGGCTATAAAATTTATCAGTAAATATGATTAATAGTGATACGTACTTATGCGTTGAAAATAACAATAATAATAATAATTAAGAATCATAGTTACAAAAGTAAGAATAATAACAATACAGAATAGAAAGGATTAATATGTAGTTGCTAATAAGAATATTTATGAAAAAAGTTTATGTATTTATGATTAACATGATAAGCACTTGTGTAATTACTCAACCTTTCTAAAACCAAAATCATATTAATGTGAGATTAAATAGATTATGTTACGGGTAAATAATGGATTTGAAATGTAAGAATATCATAAAAAAGGTTATTAGACTACATTTATAAACAAAATGACAGAGAAAGGGTTATTACGCTTTTTTTCTGCACTCAAAGCTCAGACCGAAAGCGTTTGATAGCAGTTGTCACTTCAAAACTGAATAAAACGAAACGGTCATTGTTTATTATTATGAAATAATGACGGACACTAAATTTGTGTCAACTATATCCTAAGTGCATAGCGACTGTGGAAACTTTACTGCCTTTCGGAAATAGATTCTTAGGAACTTATTCGAAAAACGTAGTAGTAGCCCTTCTCTCTGTACTTCCAATAATATTGATTTCATATGTACACGTAAATTTAAACCGGTTTATAAATTTCACCTATTTCATTCCTACACATATTACGCAACTGCTCATACTTTTAGAAAACATAAGATGCCAAAATTAATGGATGGAAATATCATATTTTAACTGTTATTGGCATAACGAATATGTAATTATAGTTGTTGGTAAAAATTATTATTGTATATATGTACATATGGTTAGATGGTAAGTCTATAAAATCTATTTCATCATTCAAAATCATACTGATATTTCTAAGAAATATAAACATTGAAAATAATCGAAAGGTAGTAGTTTGAAAAATGTCAACCTCGTTTGCTAACAGAAATGATAAAATTGATATGATCTCCAAGAACATTATACATTAAAAATTAATCAGTTACTAAAACAGTGATCAAATCGATTAGAGGATTAAGTTCAGTAGATAATTCTTAGCACAGATCAAGCTGCTTAATATGAAACTGGATGGACGTATTTATTTGACAACAATATTTTTCATAAGTGTTTGTCTATTATCTTCCATGAGATCTTTATTGAGATCTTTACATTATCTTATTATGTATTTCATTTTACGTAAGTAGGTAAGTGCGTTAAACCAGACTTATGTTTTACTGATATTATTATACTGTAAGTCATTTATAACTTCAAAACGATTTCATGTCACGAAATATTGGGATATGAGTTTCACTAATCCCAAGCACCTTAAGGTTGTATCTCCTCATTTCTACAGCGATTTGGAAGACTCTCCCGGTCTCCCACATTGTACGAGTATTCCATGTACCTAAATAAATGATTGCTCTGTTTGTCAGAAGAGGCATCAGCCTCGTGACTTCCGAAGGACCTTGGCTTTCATCATGAGGCATCATAACACTTCTAAATGAAGACCTTCTGGATCCCAGGGCAGAGTTTAAAAGGTTTGAATAATTGTTTTCTGGTTAGCGCTTTTTTAGAGAGTTAGTTTTCTACGGGATGGGGTCGCCAACCCCATGCCCAACCTTCCTCCTTTATCCAGGCTTGAGACTGGCAGTAGCCCTCGGAGGGACTCCAGGCGGTGTTAAATATTGGAATATATTTCATCTAAATGTTAAACACTTAATAATGATGTAATAAAGTAACATTTACTAAGATATATACATTTATTACATACCACTACAAATGAAAAATAAAATAATCCTTCTTAGTTTCTAGCTGTTTAAATCTCGTACTACTGATTATCGAGCTTAAATCAATAAACTTGAAAAACGGCGTTGATTCATTCGCCTGGAAATTTAAAAGTAAACATTGAACACAATAATTTAATCAAGTGTAAATTCTTTATAAAATACATTCAGATCAATTATTCACATTGTAATGATTTTTATTATCCTTAGTCTAGAAAAAGTTCTTTACATGGACAGTTTTCATAACTTTTTCATTTGAATTGAACGTTTTTATAGTATAATATTAGAAACATTTAAAAGAAGCTTTTTTCACTTCATTTGTTATCACATGAAAATACCGTTGTATGCAACTGGCTACGTTTAGTTTGTATGTTGATTAACTTTTTTTTGTTGGGAATAATAATTATCAGACTTGGATTATTAGACTGATTGTGATGATAGAAAAGAAAGTTGACAAAGTTTTCGTAATTGATTCATATTAATACTAGATTTATAATGATAATTTCAAAAACACAAGCCTGAGATAATGTTACATGCCACATTAATATTATAGGGATTTATAAGGACTAAATCTATATATTAAATAAACAAAGGAGAATTATAGTTGACAAGTGATTATATGTAAACATATATTCAGTTATGAAACTAAGTAAAAATATATTTGAAAGAAACTAAATTTTATGCCGAATTCTATTGGACAATAATGGACTTTTCGAAGTTCATCAAAGTGTTGTTGTGTGTGCTACTTATATTGACATAAGTAGTAGATGATGTTAGTCGTGAATAGAATGTCTGGCAGCAGAGAGACAAGAGGATCGAACAGTAAAGAATGGGAACAGAATGCAATTTGTATGGAAATGCAAGAACAATGAAGTCTGAGTCATTATGAAACAATTTATGGACATTTTGCAAATTATTTATTTACCATTTGATTGTTAGATTTTATCAACAAGTCCTGTAATTTTGTTTCAAATACATTCGATTGTCCCAACTCGTTTTCTGTTCACTAGAGTTCTATTGTTTATATATAATTTAAAATGTAGTAACCGGTTTATAAGATTATGTATCCTTTACGCTATATTGAGGCGTATGGTGACTGGAAGTAGCTCATATGGGACTTCGTTGGTGTATATATATATCTGACAGATTAGGCTTTGTTGTAGAACCAATTATTAGTTTTATGACGAATATTGTGTTATATATACTTAAATGAAACAATAAAAATTTATTTCATTTATTCAAAATTGTTGCTTTCCTGCACAAATACTTACGTACAACATATAATTCACAGTGTTTTAATACACTAGTAATCAGAGTTGAAGTTAAATAAGTGAGAAAATGTAAAATATTGTGATAAGTTCAAAAACAAATCAAGCATAAAAGAAAATACAAACAGGAAAAAGTAAACTACATTTGGTTCTAGTTTGATAATTACATAAAACTAAAATCCATACATTTTCTAGTCTTTATTATATGAGTCTTTATATCTATCTTAATTATCTTTGAATATATATCTATAAGAGTAGCTGTCGTCATATAAAAGTTTCACTAACTACCAAGTGAAATGTGAATATCTTTCCCCCTATTCTTAATTTGTTACTAAGATATTTAAATATTCATTATACTATTGAAATAAATCAAAATTTGTTACCCTTAAGAATATTTCTCATATTTTCTCTTTACATAATGCCGAATGATTTATATCTCATTAGAGAATCATTTAAAAGTTATAAACATAATAAATAATTCATTACTATGAATATAATTTTCCCTTAAAAAAGTACACATACTTTTATCTTGCAAGTGTTACTTATAACTTAAATAGAAAAACAATAAGCCAGTAAAGCCTATAATGAATATGTATATTTTTGACTTCAGTTGAAGTAATCCTTATGAATTCGTCGTCATAATTTGTCATTGTTTAATTTAGCGTATTTATTTCCTATCTTATATTACTACCCTACAAATATCATCTGTTTAACGTTATTTCATTTAATAGTATTACTAAACTTATCAATCATTCTACTCACACTATAGAATTGACATAACTAACACTATATATATATATCATTGTCAGTATTTTTCTAATAATCCAAATGGATCTAAGTAAAAACATTGTCAGTATCATTGATAACTATAAGTAAAAAAAACAGTAGATCATAATCATTCCACTTTTTTAGTTAACTATGAATAAGTTATCATTAAAATAAGTATAAGTAGTATATAAGTTAGAAGTATAAATAATAATCAATTTAATTGACTTTCATAAACTATTTATTTGTTAGATAGAAATAAATTTGTCATTTGTTATTTTTAGAAATATTTCAGATTGAAGCTTTTTATTCAAAGACTGCCAATAATATATTGATATAGTGAATATTTTTCTGATCCATTTACTAATCTAATGAATTTATTTGTATATAAGTCAGTATGTTAGTCTACTATGAAGATAC